CATTTACCCAGAATGCCCTGCATTATTGTTCACTTCCTGTTTTTGGAGCGGTCTCAGGTCTGCTTGGTGTTCACATTCAAACTGCACCAGAGTTCACTTCAACTGAGCCGAGGCTTTTAGACAGGCAAATAAACTAGAGTTTAATTAAAGCGAACCAAACTGGGTTGGTGTAAATACATGTTAAACATTAAAGCTCATGACAGGGAAAATAGGAAAAAGGACGGAACAAGTAGCTTATCTGGAAGTAGAAAGCTTTGGTCGGAGTCATTTGGACATGAAAACTAAGCAGAGATTTTCCCCATAATGTACAACAATAATGTTGACAGCATAAAACACAGAACTTCAGCAGAAACTGTCAGGCACAGTGGTTAAGATCTGATTTCACATGCCTGAGTCAAACATAACCTGAAGCTTTGCTCAAACCTGGTCATCAACAAGACGACGATCTCAAACACAGCAGCAGATCCACAGCAGAACGGATGGAAAAGACAGAAAAGTCCAGAGAAAGTAATGTTTTCTAACCTAAATGAAGCAATATTGGTAAGAAATGTTGATCAAAACATGATCACAAGGCCAAAGAGACCAAAAAAGTTAAAAGATGATGAAATCAGGTTGTTCAGTTTGGTTCTGTGTTGTCCTGTTCTTAACTTTTCACCAATGTTTCAGGTAGTTTGGCTTTTCAAACAGTCATTTTAGAACCTGATGATTTTTAATGTTTTGTTGCACAAATTAGCATTTCCAGACCCGGAAGACCATTTCAGACAAATATAATGGCTCATAAACTTTGCAGCTCAACTTATAATTTGTGATAATACAGCTTAGAGATTTAAGAGATACTTAAAACAAGTGTGAGATGAAATAAATATATATAAAAAAGAACATTTCTAAAGTCTTACAACAATCTAAATAAGCATTGCATGGAAGGCATTTAAAAATCATCAGTGCAGAAAATAATCCATCTTATTATGAGCAAAACGTCTACCACTTCCCATTAAATATTTACCACTCAAGTCAAATCCTTTCACTAGTGTCAGAGAAATCACAAAAACACATCTATTGCCAACACATGAAGATAAAACCCCTGGCGGATCAGAGATGATTAATAATTACTAAGCCACACTCACATTTAAGGGAAAAACACACAGCGTCTTATAATTTTTAAATCATTGCAGCTCAAAGCGTTTAACCAATTTGTCATCATGACATCCCAACAAAAACATATCTGCATAACTCAAGGAGACAAATTCCACAACAAATGCCAAAGCTTGTAGGAACAAAAATGCATATAAATAATCTATTAAGGCCCAGTCAATGCAAACCGGCACAAAAGAAAGCAGGACTAACAGAAGCAAGCGCATAATGAAAGCCAACTCAGGAATAATGAGCACAATAGGCAGCTTTTGTACCAAACAGAGCAGAGGGGACAGAAAAGGAAAACAGAGCCAGCAGAGGAAAATCAGCTCCTACCTTTCTGCAGTCATTCTGCAGTTTTTTGGTTTTAATCCATCCTGTAACTCAACCAAAGTCCAAAATCTTCACCTTTTTCTATTCCAAACACATGGAGCTCTTGAGATTGTGTGATTGCTGCTTCCTTTCTTCTTTGATGCTTTCTGTTCCCTTCACTAGTTATCACACCTGCTTCCTGTCACTCATCAGCTCTCTCAACAGATTCAGGTAGAAGCTTCCCTTTGGCAAGACTAAATTAGAGAGGAAATGTGGAAAAAACATAACATAAAATGTCTGATTTCTTTTACCAAGACTGAAGAATTTCAGTTTTTACTTCAAATTCAAATGTATTTATATAGTACTTTTAAAAACAGGTTAAAACTGCACCAAAGTGCTGTACAGAAAGAATAACACAACAGAATAAATTTATGAAAATAAATAATAAAAATAAGTAAATAAAATAAATAAAACATCACAACAGAAAAGTTACAGTATCAGACCAACTAGTAAAAATAATTTTCTTAAAAGGAAACTAAAGGAAAACTTCCAGGAGTAAAAGTGAGAAATTGATTTTAATCCAATCACAAACAAAATTTCACTAATTTTTACAAAAGTTTTTACAAAAAATATGCAGAGCACCAAAACCTTTTAATTTTTTTTTATCATATTTTTACATTTTATTTTAGATTTGCATGCATTTCGCTGTTTTGATGTAAATGGTAAAATATTTTCCACCTGCTCCTTTTTGGAAAATTATTGGTTTGTTAAATATTTAGTTGTAAATTTACCTAAATAAAGTTAATCTGAATCTGAATTTTGCCAGGTACTGCATTTTGAAAAGAACTTAGTCTGCTTTAATTTGGTGATTTATTATAATTATGATTTCCCCCCTCCCAGAAATTCTGACTTTAATTTTCTGAGAAAAAAGTCAGAATTCTCAGATTAAAGTCATAATATGTGTTTTTTCCCATAGCGCTACTTCTCTTCCGTACAGGAGCGGCATTACTCAGATATTGGTATTTTGGGGGGTAAAAAAAAAAAAAGCAATCTAAAGTGTTAGTCCAATTAATTTTTTGCCTATGCATTTAATTTTTGAGTAATTTTGTGAGTCTCTAATTGAATTGCGGTGGAGGAGGAGAACATATCAGTCAAATTAGCCGTACATGAGAAAACCTAATCTCCATCACGTCCTCGTCCTCCTGGGAGAAATGTTTTGGGGTCTCGTTATCACCCAACATCGGTCATGTACTAAGAATAATAGTCTATCATTTGAATAGCAATGAGAAATGCACCAATGGGTGACAGCATTATAATGCCATGCTATGCTTCTGTGAACTTGGCAATTTGCTCTGAATCACCAATTACTCCCAGTGTGTTGGTGCCTTTTTATTTTTGTCTGTGTGTCTGTTGGATCTGCTGTAACCTACAGAAAATCTACAGCCACAGCTCATATTTCTTCCTGTCGTCACGGCCATGGCAGTTAGCAACGGCGTAGCGGGAATCCATCGACTCATTAGGAGAATGCATAAATAGAAAAGCTGAGGTCGGGGAAATTATAGGTTCAATAGATCAGAAGAAAAGTAGAATCAGAGAAGCTTAATTCAATCTTTTGAAACATCAACCGTGAAAGGCCGTATTTTAGAAGCCAGTAATGCATTTCAGCTAAAACTTCTTCTTCTGTGGTTGTTGAAAAGTTTATTTAAAAACTAAGAAACGATTAATATATACACAAAGGTTTTAGCTTCTGGGTTAAAATCTGCTTAAAGTAGATAATGAAAGTATTTTATCCAATGAATTCATAAAATAGAAAGTATGTCCAACAAGATGCAGGTTTGAAAATGGCTGACAGTTAATTCCCTCACTAAACATCCTCTTGATGATGTCTGGTTTCAAGATAAACTTTAACCTCTTCCCAACTTGATTGGTCACAGTTTTAGTAGTTTTAAACTTGTGCTTTTTTAGGGGAATAATTGTTATTGTGTAGCATATTTTTTAAAAACTAATTAAGCTCACAGTTACTTACTGAAATAGAAAAATAAATGCTCCAGTTCCTTTTATTTATTGGAATTTATTCATTGGTTGTCCTGCTAAAACAACCAAAGAATCCAGTGTCAAGTTAATGTTAGCTTACAAATATTCTTTGGAAAACCAACTTACAAGGATATGAGTTTGATCTCTCACACAGATTTAATTTTAACTACATTAAAGTTGTAACACAACAAGATGCAAAAGTAACATAATACACAAATTGTTGCCTGGTCAAACACAAGCATAACTGAAAAAGCTTATTTTTAAGAAGCCAAATGTAATGGAAAATGTTTCCTGTTTCCACAAGACAACACTTAAGCTAGTAGCTTGGAGTTGTGACTATTTATCTTTTATTTTCTCCCGGTTTACAACTTCCATTCAGTCAGGCTTGTGGAAACTCCATCTCACTGACAAAGTGAGAGAAAAATCCATAGTCCTCTGAGGTAATCACATTGCATTACAGCCTGTAAATATTTAAAAGGCTCTGAATATCATAGCTGCTTTCTGCCATAAAGTAAACATAACTATGTCAATAGGGTTTTCTTGTGCCGAATGTGTTTTGTGTTTGTCAGAAGGGGAAAAAAATTGCTTCCATCGACCTGCGTCTGTATTAGCAAATATGCTTTCTGCCTGGATATGTTGAAAATGCTGGAGCTCTGTTCTGATCTGCACACGCTCATCTGAAGCCTCATATTTTAGATTAATTTGGGAAATATGAATGTTTGTATGTTGACGCTGCAAAAATGCAACATTTTACCAAGTAATGTTGGTTTAGTTTCCAGTGCAAATTTCTTATTACACTTGAAATAAGATAAAACTAACTTATAAGTTACTTTTTAGCAAGATATTTGAGCTTGTTTTAAGTAAACAATTTCTTAACATTGATAAAACAAAGCACCATTGGCAGATTTATTAACTTTTTTTTCTCTTGTCATAATCACTTTCTTAAAAATCTAAACTGAGGAATTACTGACTTAAAACAAGCTGCTGTGTCTTGCTGAAAACTGAACAGATTAAAATCTGTTTGCTTCTGGAAAGTGCAGCTTAACATGATGTTTATAAGAGATACGGCGAAGCCCAAATAATCCCTCCAAATAATCAATTATAAACTGTTTTTTGTAGGTGTTGATCTGGTGTGTTTTTTTCTGTTTGATGTTTGCTTCCTAAAGTTAAACTCCCATTGGTCTATTATAAGAAAAGAGTTCTGAGTTCTTCTTAAACTGTAATGGGTCTTAAGTTGTTGAAGGATAATTGCAGTGAGATGATTCATTATTTATGAAAGATTTCACGTCGTTAATCTGCAGAATGTTCTGAGCGCCTGATCATTTTCCTTTTCGCCTGACTTGGTGTTTTGCAGATCTTCACAGAGAGCTGAGTGAACTCTTTGATGTGCAGTCAGTTTCCTTGACTGTCATTGTGAAATAGTTCTCCTTGACAGCTCTTCCCCGGTGTTTTCATTGAATCATTATCTGTGTCAATGTTTGCACTCAGCCTCTTTTTTTCCCCTCCCCTCTTTTGTCTCACAGCTCCACACTGACCTCGATAAGGGGGACAGTTCGGTGAAGTACACCCTCTCGGGGGAAGGTGCTGGCTCCATTTTCACAATTGACCAAACTACGGGGGACATCCATGCCTTAAGGAGCCTTGACAGGGAGGAGAAGCCTTACTACACCCTGCGGGCTCAGGCTGTGGACATCGACACCAATATCCCCCTGGAGCCGGAATCGGAGTTTGTCATCAAGGTCCAAGATATCAATGACAATGAACCAAAATTCCTGGAGGGACCTTACACAGCCAGCGTACCCGAGATGTCACCAGTCGGTAAGAGAGCATGCAGAGCCCTAACATAACTGCAGTACACTTCAGATTGACGACCAGAATTGGCCACAGGCTCTGGCTTCTGTGGCGTTTAACAATCATGCAGCACAGAGGAAGAAACACGATAAAGTAAAGTTCTGTTAATCTACATATTATACTGTAAATAGAGGAGTTGATAGTTCAAACTGTTGAGGAAGTAAAGAAAACAAGGAGCTTCAGTTGTGACATCTAGAAATTACTGATCAGGTCTGAAATCTGGGTGTGTTGAGCCACAATACATTAAAGATCTGCTGTTGTCCTAATTGTCCTATTTACGTCAGGTTTGGGCCCAGAACTAAAGTTAATCGGTTGAGTTGGATCAGGTTTGGGTTGGGTTGTATTTTTATTTTTTTATTTTTTGGCCCAATCTAAATTCTACTTTGCAAGGGAAACTTTTCTTTCTCTTTGAGAAATAGTAAAAAAAAAAACAAAACAAGTTCAGCTTGAGAGCAGAATGGCTACAACCAGCGGGGTAACGCTGCTCCACCTAACAGATTTTGACATTTCAGAGAACCATTTTATTCCTGGTGTGCCCTTAGTACATTTCACAGCTTTGTCTTTACACTTCCCTTGGGGGGAGGGGTGGCAGATCAAGGTAATTCGCTGGGAGAATGGTTTTCTCTTGATGTGAATCACAATGAAGCCCTCAAAACTTCAAATTCAGCAGTCCCGGGGAAAGGATGGGTAGAAAGCAGGGAAAACACGGAGCAGGCTTGGCGGGCTCCCTGAATCAAAGGCAGCTCTGTAATGTTTACCGTAGGACGGAGGCTTTCAAGTTCGTCAAAAAAACATGCCCATGAAAGAGAAGTGAAGAGATCAGTTAGAGAAATAAAAGATTTGATCTGGGTTATCATACAATGTCTTTATCCAGCTTAATTCATGTAGCAGTCATAGAAAATTACATTCCACAATGTTACAATATTTACTATTTAGGCCTTGGTAATTAATAAAGTCTTGCCAATAACCTTTAATCTGAAACATAATCTGTCCCGCTTCACCTCATACCAGATAGTCCAGTAGAACTGATTTGATTTGAGGCCAAAATTGTAACATCTGTTATGTTTTCAGCTGCTGTGGTTCTCTTTCACACTGCACTGTCAAATGATCCAAACCCTTTGAAAAAACTGTTCCCCTCCTGGCCTGTGGTGGTGCTGCACCAAGAACCACTGAAGGAAACGACACAAAAACCTCTGAAGACACTGAACGCAGCTTCCTTCTTCATCATAAAATGTAAACAAAAATGGAGTTTCGATAAAAGACCACGAGTCATTTCTCCTGCTAGCGATAGATTAGCATTTGTTTTGGTTGAATTTACCATGAATAATTTGGAGTCATGTTCTGCAGAAACATCCATAAATACAAAACCACCCATAGGTAAGTTTAACATTTAACTCTGTTATAAATCAGGCACTTTGGTGACAGACAACATAAATAAAAAGCATAAAATATGAGCCAAAAGTTGTCCGTACTGAGATGCAGCCATCATTTGAAAATGCAAAGTCATTGAATTAAATTGTAGTGAAGTGTTCAGAGGGTAATGAATTGCCAGCCTGTTGTGTTTATTACCAAACACACAAACAAAAACGCCCCACTAAATGTCCTAAAGAGACCAAGAGCTGCTAGGCAGAAATTTGCTTCAGTGGCTGGTACGTTAGTAAATGCAGCAAACATTTAGCCAAGCAACAAATCTTTCCATAATCCCTTGTCAATAAATAGTTTATCCCTGAATCATTTAGGGAATGAGGCAGATTAAAAACACTATTTCAGGGAGGTGTAATTACTGCAAAATGAAGTCTTATGCTTAATCAATTTGTTTCTTCCACTGCCTTTATACAAACTTCCACTTTAGGTTGTTAATGTGTTTTTTTTTTAACATCAGACTCATGAATTTTTCTGCAAAAAACTCCTTCTCGTAATCGGATCAGTCTTTAGATAGATGCAATTCTTATCTCCCAGCCTCATGCTTAAATATAAAGCATGCATACATTGTGCAGCCTGCGACATTAATTGCTTTCCTTTACACCACTGCATTAATCTGGAGTAATACGCTGTTTGATGAAGTTGGATGGTTTAAGAATTTGAACCGTTTTTTTCAATGTGTTCTCATTCAGGCATTTGATTTTCCTTCTTCCTCCAAATTGAAATCCATTTTACTGGTTTATAGCCTCACACTTATGTAAAAGCTGTTACCTTTGTTGCATGGGAATGTGTAGGAGTCAGAGGCGCTCGGAGGCTTTCAAACTTTCAGCTCATACAGGCTGCCGAGGCTCTGCTCTCTTTGCATTAGCAGGAAACGTGTTATCTCATCTGCTCTGCACACATGTTTAGCACAGCCCTTCTACAGCATTTCTAATCAGCCATCTTTCAGGAACGCTAATCTCTCTCTCTCTCACTTCACCTGATATTTTAATTCAACCACAGACTAAAAAAAACAAACAAATAAAACCATTTAATATACAGCGAGTTCTTTACAGGCATCAAGCAGCGTAGAAAATGACCAAGTTAAGTGCCAGCCCTCCGGTCAGTGCCTCTTGATCATAAAAAGCATCCCACACATCCTGCAATTTTCGTCTTCATCCAGTATATTTTTACACCGCCCAGATGGGGGGGGGGAGTCATTCTGAGCAATCTGCTTGTGTTGTGGAGCTAGAAAACCTGAATCTGTTGAATTTTAGCAAATGCTTAGAACTGTTTTTCGCCAAATAGAAAAAAGCAGATCAACGAATCTTCATGATTGTAATCACACACCCATTGTTGTTTCTCGCTTCTTGACTCAAATCATTGTTTTTTTGTCTCTTTTCCTGGGAGCTTAAGGCAAATATTACTTGCTGATAAGCTTTTTGCCAATTTCCACTTGCATTTTTTGACCGTTGCGTCATTGGAAGATTGGGAAAAAAGCAACATGGCCAGGTGAGATCAAAACTGAGATCCAGAAATCCAAAATCAAACCTCAAGAACAATATCTCTACTGTGAAGCACGGAGGGGAAAAGTAGGAAACAGTAAAGATGGGCAAAATCCACAGTGAAGACAGAAGAAGTGGCCAAAGATGGCATTAAGGTCATGGAGCGGCCTAGTTAAACTCCCGAACCCAGTCCTATAGAAAAGCCATAGCTTTAAGTTAAGGACTCAGGAAAACTAAAGGATTTAGAGTTTTTTTGTAAAAAAGGAGTCAAAATCTCAGCTTACATGTCAAATCCTGGTGACCAACTATAGAAAACATGTCGACGCTTTTATTCATCAAGATCTCAGTTGTAGGGGATCAAATATTTATTTGACCTGCAAACCAATTATTTATCAATTATTTAGTGCATTTTTTCTGAATTTTTTTAAATAAAGTGTCTTGCCTGAGGACACAACAACAGAGTCAGAGAGCGATGGATCAAACTGGCAACCCAACGATTATGGGACGAACTCCAATACTGGAAACTATCAAACTGCAGCTCCGTCCTGGAGAAGTCCGTTTGGATTTCTGGCAAAGAAACAACACAGTTTTTATTTGGTGCAGTGGAAACATCAAACAAGCATAATTTAGCAGAAATGCTCTTGTGGGAAACAGCTTGTGTCAATTAGGGATGTTGAAGCTGATCTGGTAGCTAATTCTACTCCATTCGAATGAAATGATGAATTGTTGACATAACAAGGACCCCGACGGGGTTAGAGCTGCCAAAAACTGTACTGAACTTAGAACAGAACTGCTTCAATATAATTTTACTCAAGTAAAAGTTAAAAAATATCCTTAGAAAAAGGATTGAAGTAAGACAAAAAATATATTTGGTAAAAAAAAAAAAAAGCTACTGAAGTAACAAAACATCTGATTGCATTGTTACAAAATATGTAATTACACAAAAAACTAAATTTTTGGAGAATAAAATAATAATAGAAAATAAGGCAAACAAATAAAATAATGACAAAATAACAAATTCAAGCAGAAGGAAATATTTCCAAATTGTTCTTACTATATAAAACTTTTGACAGCATGGTACGTTAGAACATATACTGTATCCTTACTGTATCTTCACTTGACCAGCAGATAGAAAATAACATTAAAATGATGAATATGGTGCAAATTTGACTCAAAAATTAGTAGAAGTAATATTACTCAAGTATTAAGTAAATGTTGCCAGTTGCTACCCACCTTTCCCAGCACTCAATGTGCCTAGAAAAAGAAGAAAATTTGGGATATATTTTTGGGAATATCTTTATGAATTCATCTATTTTCCCCAGGACAAAAATATATAAGCAGTTGAGTTAAACCCAACACTTATCACTAAGTGATTAGTGTTGCTTCAGGAGACTGGAAGGCTGTTCCTGACTCTGCTCTTTGTTTTCTTAATGGGAGCATTGTTCAGTGAAGTGTTTGAACCAGAACTTTTTCCCATCACATTTTTACGGCTGCTTTGTAAAGCTACAAACATGCAAATGCAACCAAACAACAGGGGCGCTAAATATTGTCCCTCATTCCACTCCAGCAGCTTCAGCTGCAGCTTTCTCACCAGTGACTCAACACTCATTAGGCGTCAGGTGAGATCCTTTGTTAGGCTGATGAACTTCAAACGAATCTGGATGCTGGTCTCATGTGGAAACAGATTAATTCAAGGTCGGTTTGTGTTTTTCCCTCCGCTCTTTTCCGCAGGGACCTACGTGACACAAGTAACAGCCACAGACGCGGATGACCCAACCTATGGAAACAGTGCCAGAGTTGTGTACAGCATCCTTCATGGTCAGCCATACTTCTCTGTTGACCCCAAAACAGGTAAGCTAAATAGCTTTCTTCCCACGTCTCGTATGTGGCAGAAATTTGAATAATTAAATTCTAGAGGTGACTTTTGTGAAGAACTATCACAGTGAGATCAGCTACTCTTCTGTTAAAGGTGACCTATCAGGCTTCTGTGAAGATAGTAGGATAGATCTATGGGCTACATGAAACAGGATC